TTCGAGCAGTGCAGGGGATGTTTGCACTGCACTCTCACTTCTAGTGCTAGGAGCTTGATCCAATGCGTACGGGTGAATATTCTGCTGATCCTCCTGGCAGGATTGCTGCGCTGGTTGCTCAGTTAATAAAAGTGGCTGCCATCTGGATTTCTTTCATCCGGGCAATATAATCCTTTATCCCTTAGTTGATATGCCGCACAGCTGGTTTTTTACAGTAGAGAGGAGTTTGTCCAATATCGCTCCCAGCTCCAGCATTAGTACACTGGTGTGCACACCATGCCTTTTTGATTGCTTTCCTGGGCGGTCGCTTGCTGCCTTAAGGGGGCTTGATGAATCCCGGCTTCGTTTCGTCGTTGGTGTGTCTTCAGTTGGCTGCCCCTCCAACTGTGCAATGATGTTTGCGGGGGAGTTCTCGCCATCTCTGCATTTTTACGGAAACTTCTGTTTCTGCCGCTTTCGTGTTACTTGTCGCTTTGTCTGCTACGATAGCCAAGAGTGCCATCATCGTAGTAGTTCGGTTGGTAACGGTTGTTGGGTTCTCCAGCATCGGCGCGCCGACCGTGGATTGGACTGCCACCTGGAGTAGTTTTGTTTCAACAATCCATTCCCTTTCATAATTGCATTTTATGCCTACTTCCAGGCTTTTGCAATTTATACCAGCTGCCTGGTTTAGATATACTGCCGGCCGATTCGGCGCAGACGCAGACTACCAAGCTGGTGCTGGTTGCGTCCCACTTTTGTGCTGTCTCTAGCATGTTTGTGACCAGGTTGTCCACCGTGATGGGTCTGCCCATGCTGTCCTCCAGTTCCAGCCTGTTCGATGAAAAACACACTCGAAGATGATGTGGTTGGCGTCCTCTAAGAGCTTCAAGTAGCTCCTGAAGCATCCGTGGTCGTATAGTAGCTGCGTTAGTATTGTGTTAGTATTGCCATACTTGCGGTTTATCCAGGCTTCGTCTGATACCGTACGGAAGGCGCAGCTGACCCGTAGGGCGCTCAGGCGATATGCTGAGTTTAGTCCCCGACTGTAGCTAGGAACAGCCAATGCTCTGCTACAGATGGGGACGCGAACATTATTACCGCTCTGTTTTCGGTCATGAGAAGACGGCGTCTCTGCTGTTTCGGTCCTCGAGTGTTCAGCATAATCCTGGATATCGCTCGACAGGATTCTGCTGCTTTTTTATGCACATACTCCAAGTACTCTCTGAATGACATCCTTGTGTCTAGCATGACGCCCAGGTACTTTAACGCCCTCGCTGATTTTATTATCGCGCTGCCGACTCTTATGTGCGCTGTTTCCACCTTTTTTCGGCTGCTTACTAACACCGCTTCTGTTTTATGAGCAGCCAGCTCAAGTCCAGCTGCTGCCAGCCATTGGTGCACTCGGTCAATACTGTGGTTGCACGATACCTCTACGTCCTCCAATTCCTTGCCGACGACTACAAGGGCCACGTCGTCCGCGAAGCCGATGATACTTGTATCGATCGGGAGTTCCAGTCGGAGGATGCCATCGTACATGATGCTCCAGAGGAGGGGTCCCAGATCTGAGCCTTGGGGCACCCCGGCGGACACTTGGTGTGTAGTGGGGCCATCTGCGGTGTCATATTGAAGCAATCTGCCTGCAAAGTAGCTGCGTATCATCTCCTGGAGGTAATATGGGACGCAGAACGTTGACAGTGCATCCAATATTTTTTCCCAGCTGGCTGTGTTAAAGGCGTTTTTAACATCCAGCGTGACGATGAGGCAGTACTTTTTTGTGTCACTTTTAAATCTCGATTCTCGGATGGCGTTTGTTGCTATGCCGACCACTTTTTAAAGAGCGTCTATTGTCGACTTTGCCTTGGTGAAGCCAAATTGGCTTTGGGACAAGCCACCATTGTTGTCGACAGCTGCTTCAAGCCTGGTGCAGATTAGCTTCTCCAGCACTTCGCTCAACGTGTCCAGGAGGCAAATCGGTCTGTATGACGATGGGTCGTCTGGCGGTTTACCTGACTTCGGAAACAGCATTAGCGTTTGGAGTTTCCATATCGTGGGGAAGTTCTCTCCATTAGGTACCTGTTAAAAAGCTGCACGAGCTGCGCAGGCTGCAAGGACATGGCCAGCTTCAGCGCTCGGTTAGGGATTCCATCCGGACCCGGTGCCTTACTAGGCTTTAGGTTTCTGGAGGTCGTCAGCACCTCTTCGACTGAGTCTTCGTCAATGAGAGCTGGCGTGGCTGCTCCTTGGCTCGATGGGTTTGCGTAGGTAGTACGTCGGGTCTGATTGGGAATAGCGTTTCCACAATCAACTTAAGCTCACTCGGATCAGAAGGCTGCGTTTTCTTGCCTTGCCCCAAAGGGTCATATTCGGCTGAGTCGCATAGTTCCAGAAAACATTCTCGCTTGCTTTCTCGTATAGACTTCTTGAGTAGTTTGGTGGTTTTCGTGCTTCGGCAATGTTTTCATATCAGCAGTACGTGAAACGTTTTCCGGGTTTCCATGCTTTCATCACAGGCACGAGTTAACTGATTTGCCATTTGGGATTTGCGTTGCCGGTCGTGGCAAGCGATTGGACTGCGTTCGCAATCTATATATGGATTGATATATTCAACTCTTGACTTTATTCAGTACTGCGGTTGTAAAATTGAATATCGTTGTGGCGGCACTGTAACACGCCATCTATTGGTTGCCTAACATAATGTAAATTTAAAGCTAATTAATATCGATATATATATATTATATAGACAGACAAAACTTTTTCTTTCACTTCAAGCGCCACTAGACTCCTCTCCATGAAAACAACACGAACATACACTAATGTTTCTAAGATCTTCCTGGCTTTTAACAAGTCGACCGGAACGTTCGAGATTACAGAGGACCGAGTTACAACCTAAGTAACCTAAAATACTAACAATTGAGTAATCAGTTGGCCAAAATTACGTTCCCGCACGTAAGTCAAAGTGCTAACTAGCCACCTACCGTGGCATCGCACGTAATTCAAAGTACTAACTAGCCAGCTACCGTGGCATCGTAAATTTGGCAAAGCGGTTGAAAAAGAACATTATTGTGAAATTATCGCCAATAGGCACCATTTGTTTCCAAGAAATTCAATCCCTGCAGGACACAAATTCTGAATTTTCGCAAATATAACTCGAAGCTTATAAACGTTGACCAATATATGAATGAGACGCACAATTTCTAGCCTGACTTTTCATCTGGCTTTTCCCACTTCAAACGACACACCAGCCGACTGGCTTTTTGCTATCCAAAAGCCAGACGAACGAATACCGAAGTCGCGGATTGCTGATGCTGACACGAGCAACGAAAAAGTTTTATACTTACGATCGACGCATTGTACTTTTTCTTAATCCATGATATTCATGCTTTATATGAATAATTCATTACCTTAGATACTATTGATAAAGTGTACAGGCAAATTTAATATTAAAATATTCAATTGGTTCCAGAAAAAACCGTGTAAAAGAATACATTAATCGTATGCAAAAATAGGTGATTGGTTCCTTATCTCTAAAACCTATTAAAATTAGTGAAAAACAAGGATTTTTTAAGAGAAAACATATTTAATGTGTATTTATGTATGAAAGCATAGCTATTTAAGAAAAAAAGATGTGCACTCTAAGATAGAAAAGAATGTAAATTAATGTATGACAAGTTCAGGAACTAAAAACAATTATTTGAAACAGCTATGTTGTTAACAAAAAGAATAGGTTATTCAATTTTTAAGGTAAAAAAAAATTAAAAAATATAAATAACTGAATGAATATATATTATATTTTGGCTGACCTTTTATCCTACTACGTTAAAATTAAATTTATTGTAAAAAATTGGTTTACCAAACACGTCTGATTGCATTGATATTAACACATTTCAATTGCTCTGAAAAGTAAATTTGATTGTAAACAAAAAAATGAAATTCACCTAAATTTGTGATATGAACAAAAATTAAATATGTCAAAAAAATTAAAGCCAAAAAGAGTTAAAATCTTGCTAAATCTTTTAAAATCGGGTAAAAAAAATAGAAAATAGCACACGGAGATTGATTTTACTTTTGTTTTTAGACAGTCTATGCTGGAGAGAAGTTCTTGTCTCAGCCAATGGCGTGCAAGCACCATTATGCAGGCATAAGCACACAAAAATTTGTTGTTATTCACTGCTGCCAAAGAAATATATTTTGTTACTTTTCTAGCGCTGAACATGACCTATCCCAAAATTGTATTCACACGTGAACGCATGTTGTGTACTGAGGTTGGCAGGGTAGAAAATCTGTATTTTTATGTTTACGAAAATATTTATAAAATTTTTTTAAATTAAATTATAATTTATTTATTTTATTTTTTTATCCTCCAATTAAGAAATAAAAGAGTGCCAATAAATACAAATAGAGTAAATTAAATATTTAGTTGTACAAAAAATGTAAATAAATAAAAAAAAAATATTCAGTTCAACGTACATTCATATGTGAATACAAATTTGGAATATGCATGGTCGGTCAGTGCTGGAAAACTAACGAAATTAATTTCTTTGGCAGCGAAAGCCAGAACAGTGATTAACAACAACACATTCAAATATGCTGTTATGCATTTATATTCACACACATACAAACTAAATTGCTTGCACGGCCCTTATAGAACCTAAGTTGAAAGTTAATTCTAATTTTAGCGTTTTTGCTCTTTCATCTGTGAGAGCGCAATGTTACTGATTTCGTTTTCGTTCTTAATTTTCAAAAAATCAGACTGCGTAGTTGCATTTTCTTGTATGGCGTTACTCATCCTAGTGTTTATGTTGTCTTTGGTTAAACGTTAAGCAGAGGTTTTATTAGCTATAGATAAGGCATCATATTAGAAAAGACCCGCGTCACAAAGAAATCATAAGGAAAACTATTTTTCACCTAGCGGCTAGATTTTAACTCGTCTCCCATTTTTTTTTTGTAAGATACGCATCTTCTCTATTTGTATGTTTAATGGAACCTTAAAAAGAAATACTTCAACAATGAAGCAAGAATATGTTGTGACTAAATAATCCACATTTGGTTTAATATCGACATACATATGTATAAAAATAAATGAATCATCCGTCAGTATTAATTGACAAGTACTAGTAAGATTATTCATCAGGTTTCTAACAATTATAATTTTGTTAATCAACACTTTCGTCAGATATGAATGCAATCATTGAAGAGGCAGATTCCGCACTGAGCCAAATTATCCCAAGAAACAAAGCTTCACAAATTCCAATCAGTGCACCAGCACAAACATCTAGAAGGTAGTGCCGTTTTAAGATAAGCCTAGAGAGAACAACACTTACAGCCCATGCAGTCATTGGCATCCAAAATAGTATTGGCAACGCATGCAGTTTTGTAAAGAACACTAGAACATAGAAAGCTCTAGATGCATGTCCTGAAGGAAAGCTATATTTATCTGGACCAATTACGAGCATATCCTTGACGACCGCCGGCCGTCGTCGACGCACGTATGCTTTCAACAGAGCCACAATAATTATGTCTAAGATTAATCCAACAAGCATATTAGCTTGCATTTGGTATAATTTCCTAGAATTAGCTAGCCAAATAAAGGCAATCCATGTCGAAATCCAAGCTATTCCGTCACAGGATATTTCGAGAAACTTGCAGTGAATTTTAAGAGACTTTAAAGAAGTAAATCCTAGTAAGAACGACACAAATCGCTCCGTAATTTTTACATCCAGGTCCACAACTGACCGAATAACAGGTGACTGAAATATAAACAAAGAGGTAAACTACATATAAACAGGCTGCGCACTACAACAAATTTTTGATAAATCATGTTTGTGCTTCATTACAATTAAATACCGTTTTCATTTTCCAGTCTTTTTGATGCTAACCCAGAATATCACAAAGAGATGTGTTACATTTACTCAACGAATACAAGTAACAGGTATTTTCAAGGGACTGTGACTGCTGCAATCAATTCAAAAGTAACAGTAAAACTTATCAAATTAACTGTGCTTTTATAGTAAAATCACACTGAGTACATTTTCGGGGAGCGACTGAAATTTATTTATATATATATTTATTATTTATCAGCCAACTACCTCGCAGATGAAAAACTTGATAAGTGTAGATGGATAATATCACTAACCAATATAATTAATTATAATTACTAAAGCTGGTATTCTCTGGTATTATTTGCTCTAGCAAATTTTCACTTCTTATTTAATAATATAATATTATTTTAATTCACCATGCTAAATACCTCTTCTACTTCAGATATAAATTGATCAAAGTTAACATTGGCCACCCAGATCAATGCAACTACTCACTAATATATCGTCAATCTTAGCAATTTTCTTGACTCTTCACCGTTGCTGAAAGAAAATGCGACAGAATATGTGGTGTTAAAGTCTCTGTAGGGGTTATTGAAGACTGCGTTTCCGATTTACGCGGAAACTCATGAAACCAATATGCGCGTATGCAAATAAAAAAAATGTTCTTTAAATTTTACAGTACTTATATACAATATAATAATATTTTAAAAGTCAATAACAGCAGCAACACTGGCAATGGGCAATCGCTATTAACAAGGATCGTGAACAGCCACGCCAAAGTAATATTTATAATGATAATAACCATATTATTATTAATGATAATGATAATAAACATTGCGCATAAGAAATAAGACTGTTAAAGCAACATCTGATAATATGAATGAAGAATAAAAATCATTTATCATGCAACAAACGCTTTTTAATATATATACTTAAAGTATTAATTATTTTAATTTCGTATAAATTTTATCATCTTCAATTGGAAATTTGCTGTGCTATACGCTATTTCATTGAGCGTTTCCCTTTGCGGCTGCCAGATGAATGAGGGTCGCTTTGATGGAGGAGGGTCGACGGCGGTGTCGCTGCTGACTCATATTTCGGGGTCGAATCTAATCGGGATATTTTCAGTGTACTCCGTAATATCTGCAAAATGTACTTCTAATATCATCCAAATAAATAAACACTGTATGATTACACTACGGTTATCCACCGTGACTCCAGCAGGGCTCTTTATTTAGCCCCAAATTTGTCCTAACTTTTAAAATTGAGCCACTCTAGATTTTGTTTTTCTAGGCTGAAAAATCAAAAATTAATCTTTTTTCTATAGCAACAATTAATATTTCCTATATTTCCGGGTAAGGTTATCCAATTAAAATCTGATGTTGAAATTAATTAAAGGTGTTGGCAAGGCAAAAATTACGCTCCTATTTCCCTTTTTATTCATTACTACACTAAACAAACGCGTTCGGGCTTATACATCACTACAGCGAATATAAAACTTAAAAAGTAAACGACTTGAACAGCTATAACTAAAAAAAATCACAAGAGAAACAAAATTTATAACAAAAAATATATATCGAAATAGAATCCCGGTACCTAATCCAGGCACACCCGCGCTACCTGAAGCAAACACCTATACCTGATATATGAACGTTCGTATTGTTTTTGCAGGTATTTTATATTTAAATATTTTATGATAATTTGTCCGCTGCAATTACTTTTAAGTCGTCCCCTTACTGTTTACAAACTATTGTTTTTTTTTTAAATTTAACGATATATATATGTACTAAGGAAAAAGAAAGTAAATATTAATATATTTTGATGGTTTTAGCGATATAATTATTTTTTTTTTTCAGAAAAATCAATAGGATCTACAAAATGGGGAATTTAATTTCAGGTTGCCGCTGCCTTCAGCCTGGGTTGAGGAAGAGATTCGTGGAACTGACTCATTCGGTTTCTATTTCTCACTGCCGGTCTCCCGGCAGCCTATAATGCAGCCACCCTTTGAAATCCCTTTGCGATCAACCTTTGAAATCCCTTCTTAGTTTATTGAAGACTTGCCGGTATGAGGCTGACGAGTAACTCTTGCACGTGAGCTTTGTGCGTGGATCTGTCAACGTGGATCCTGTTGGTGCCGTTAGCATTTGAGCGATTTGAGCGATTTTATATTTGATAATTTTTGCTAGACATACATATGTATATAGGTTTATGTTTATTGTTGAATATTAAAAAAAAGTTAATATGTTTAATAGTTCACGTTATATTGTAATATGTTTTAATTTTACTTTCTTTCTCTCCCTATCTACGCTTGTTTATCCTTTGCATGGTAGACTCATGTGGGTTTCCCTTGACAAGTCCTCTAGAAATTACAAGTTTTTCCTTATTCGACGCACTTCTCTGGAATTTCAGAATTTCCGAGCAAATTTTGTGTTAAAGGCATTCCCGAAGTCACCGTCTTGGCCCGGTTCCGCCTGAAATACTTAAGTTCGGGCATTGTACTGCTGGTGACTGCAATCGTACGCCTTATGTAATTGGCCTTGGACACCTTGGCGAATGATGAGAAATTTAATGAAAACCCAGAGATATTTACTAGCAAGCCAATTTGTAATTTGCCCCATTTGGATACGTGAGATGCCCGAAAATCACAACGAATGGTCTCCGTGTATATCGCGTTGCGTATGGTCGCTTCTATTTATGGAAGGCGGAGGGCCCACTCGCAATAATCTTGCTCTAGGTACCCTCTGATTGCCGACAACCAGGAGCGGTCAACTCGCTAGGCTGCGTTTCTCTGTGGGGTGTAGACCGCGATGCGCATATGCAAGACTAGGAGGACAAGGCCTCCATTATCAGAGTGGATGAACTCGGGTACTCCAAATTATGCTTGCTTTCCGTGCACGTCTTGCACTGTCGTACCCGTCAGTAAAACTGACAGCGCAAGGTCCAGTGTCTTTGCAACACCACTTGCACATAGTGCCTTCTAACTGATCTTCTAGGATAGCGAATACCAGGCGCTTAAAAAGCAGATCTGGCAACTTGTCCTGATTCTGGCATACCTGTTCAATCAACGCCAAATATTCCGCCGACTCGAACTTACTGGCAACAAATCCAAGCAGACTTACAGGGTCACTGCTTAACGCTCGTTGTTTCAGGTAAGGCAGATAAAAAACATGTTGTCTTTATTCTGCTCCTAATATGAGATTGGGAGCTCAACTCGACAGAGAATCAATCTATTCTCTCCTCCAGCGATTCGAACTATCAAATCAAATGGTTTCAACGGATCCCTTAGTTCGTCGACCGTTGTCAACGACTAACGCTAGCTCCTGTGCCGAAGAAACCACTTATGAGATGCGTACCCATAACTACCTCGCCAAATACATGCGAATCTATATTCTCCTCCCGCCTCACAGCTTCGATGACCTGTCGCCTTATCCTGCGTCTGGGAAAACAGGCCCCCTTATCCACTGGTTGAAGGCGTCATACTTTCCAGCTATCGTTCACCAAAAATTTTCGGGCCGACGTGTATTCCCGAACACGTTCTTCATATGGAAAGCGTCCTACGAACTTTTCTTAAGCAATATTCTTATTCTTATTCCTTGTTCTTATCCTAATTATTATCCTTATCGATAACACTAGCATTGATATTGATATCCTTGCTTTCTATTAGTTTTGGCAAACGTATCATGTTCCGCCCCCATAGCTCTGGAGTTTAAGCTCTGTGGGCACAGAAGGTACGATTTCCCGCACGTGTAACAGAAAATCTTCTATATTTTCAGTCTCTGAATATGGGATCGCACTATTTAAAATTCAGGCTCTGCCCCTCACTAAGGCCGCCTCCAGGTCTCTTGGAGGGGTTTCAACTCGATGTGGTATGATGTGATATCTCAACCTCGCAAGCTATCATACTCGCGGATAGCGCGGCGGTTGCGCAAATCTTGATCGGACTCTCAGTGGCTTCCGTATTCGTGAGGTGAGCTTACGGATGTGGTGGATATAATCATCTACTCCCTCGCCGGTTTGTTGCTGTCGACTTCGGAATCCCTTACATGTACTCAATACTATTCGCAGGCATGGCCAGCTTAGAGCAGGTGAAAGTCGCGCTGGACTTCTTTCCACGATCATTAATATTGCCTAAGCAGGAACTTTAGCCGGAACACAACCTCGACGGAGTTCATGGCATCCTCGCAAGCAAAACTTGGCGTTCCACTGATCGAGCTTCATGTACGCCTACGCTTCCTTCGACTGAAAGTCACCCTCTCTCGGATGTTGCGATAATTAGGATTGCGCCATTTGCTCCGCTCAAAGCGCCTCGCCTTTGTGTTTTCAATTGTGGGGGCCAGTAAGTTTGAAAAAATTAAACTTTTAATATTAAGTCGTATATACCCAGCAACTAAAGTAGAGTATTATCTCTCGAGGTGGTTAGCGTAATGTCATCTCGCTCCCACGCCTCGGCGGTTGTGTTAGTTGCATCTCCTCGCGTCAGTTTCGCACCTTATACATAAAGCGACAAGAAACGGCATCAAAGAATAAGACAAGCAATCACGCCATAGTTCCGTTAAATATCACAAGCGACAAATGTAGCTGGCGTTGCGTATCAGTTGCATAGCCAAAGTGAGTTATCCACGCGGTCACCTCGTTCACTTCGTCTTGAGCTGTGAAAACGAACAGACGCAACGGAGTCATAACGTCTGCTCATTTTTCTAATTAACATTGCTAAGATTACACGTGTTAAACTTTTTCGGTTATAATCGCGATACTCGCGAACGCGACATAGTGTTGGAACAGGTGATACTTTTCCATGAAAGACAGTCAGAACTGTTTAACGTAGATCCACCTTTTTACAGGGAGCGTTAGCAGCGGCCACCAAGCCCAGATATCGGCCGGTCTGCGTACGGCGCCCCCGCGCTCTAAACATTAAACATAATTCGGCGACCGGCCGAAAGAGCCCCATACTCAATCACCGCCCCTATTTCGGCGATTAGTCGGCGAATTAGTTAAGCCCCAGTTCACACCGGCTGAGGCGCAGTTGGCTCAACTTAAAGTTTACACCGACCCTTTTCATCGCTATATATTTGTCTAATGCTTAAAACGACCGAGTTGTGTCTTGCATACCTTATCTTACTCGGCAGAGTATAGCCGCGCTTGATAGCGTGA